CACTAAAAGTCGGGACATACACTGCTTGAGCATTTAGGAACTGCTGCTGGAGTGGAAAAAAAAAAAAAAAAAAGCCCAAATGGAGGTGTCCTTTTCAGGTTTTTAGCTAGCTCTGATTAAGCGTTGTTATTCACCATTTTAACGCATTACCATCTTTAATCTCACTTATAAAGTTCGAGTCCAAAAGTTATTACTCCGTCAAATTATCTAATTAAAATCAATTTACTTTCTCAAGTCCAAATCAATCTTATCTAGCTAAATAAACTTAGTCTTATCGAATGCACTAAATCACTTGGAAATTCAATTAAATATAACATCAATAGAAATTTATTTCTCTAACTTTTACCTAATTGTCAAATTTCACTACGCGATCTAAATTATAACTTATCTCTCATTTGTTACAATCGACAAATCATGAATTAGTGATAAAGTAATCCAAGCATGAAGAAAAAATATAAAATCAATGAACAAACAAATTAACTGTGATAGTATTGAGAACTAAAATTAAAGGTTCAAATTTAGGTTGCATTGTTTGTTCTATCTAATGATTTAGCTACACATCACAAAGAAAAACACACAAAAGGATTTTAGAATACATCATCGAGTTAAAAGTAAAAACGAGAAAAACATGAACTTCTTGCACTAAAAATCCGTTTTATTCACGTCAAGTTCTTGAAACCCTAGCTTTTCTACTATGTCTTCTTGTATGCTCCTTGTTTGATCTTAGGTTTATCCCCCTCGTTTTGAACTAAATTAGGCCTTTATATAATGATCTTACCATTTTGAAAATCGTGTTCACGAAAAGGACCAAAATATCCCAAGCTTATAAAACAACAATTGGAAAAACATATTGACAAGCTGCGACAATTTTTTCGACCACAAACTTATCGCAGAGGTTCTCCGTGTGATAGTGGGCCACCTATGGTCACCCGTACAACTTTTATATTTTTACATTTTGGTCCCTACTTTAAGTTTTTCCTATGGTTTTGGTCCATATCTTCTGTATTGATCTCTCAACTTCCAGAAACATCCATGTTGGTCCCCCAAACATTCATAATTATCCAAAACTAGTTGTCCCCATGTTCTGAAAGTATGTAAAGCAGTCCCCAAACATTCACTAAGTTAAATTTCACTCTCAAAACTCCAATTTCTCTCTTAATAGTTCATATCAATCTTAGTACAATTCGATTCTATGAACTAACTTCAGTTAGACTCAAAATCTTCATTTTTGTTTTAAGTGCCTCCAATTCTCAATTTTACCCACGTTGGTAACATTCACACTAAATTTGTGGGGTGGGGGGGGGGGGACATTGCTAAATTTGCAAATATAAATCAAGCTTATAGCACAGATAAATGTGTAAAAGTACATTTATCATAAACTTTGGGAGAGATACATTATTCAAAACTTAAAATAAGTAAGGTACTGGTACTTTTTTAAGAAGGAAATGAGATTCGTAGGTCTCTAAAATTTGCCCTTGTTTTTGGACATGGGAGGTTTCGTAATTCTTCAGAAGAGAGGGAACATCTCTCTAATTTGATTATGTATACTTTTCTTTTGTATTTTATTATTTAGTAAAGTTCTTATTTCCACATATGACATCAAATGCCTACTTGATAAATTCTTTGAGTTTATTCACTATTGTAAATCATGCATCTAATTCGTATCTTGAGGATTTGTTTGCAACATAATTTATCTTAGTAACTAGAATAAATTGTAGACTCGTTCCAAAGAAAGCAACAATCAAAGAAACAAAGTACAGAAAAAAATAAAAAATAAAAAAGGAAAATGTGAAGTGGTCTCACGAAAAGTTCCACCACTGGTTTTGACCTAATAATATTTCAAATGAAGTACTTTACAATTAATACGGAAAATGTTAACATGACCAAGTCCCACAGAAAATGTTCCTCAATCTACAGTAAATATCCCGACTTCGATGACTTGGACTCTCTCTCTATACATATACCAGGATATCTCGTTTCTCCAAACTATCATCTGCTCTTTTTCTACATTATAAAGCTATGGATTTCAAATGCAACAAGTCTTTCTGCAGTGATTATATGCTGCTAAAGCCAGAAGAAGCTGGCTTGATTGATGTCTTTCGCATCTTATTTTCTGATGACATCGGGAAGAGAAAATTTATCGACTGTCCAGAGGGGAAACGGCCGGAGCCATTCAAGCGTAGATTGCTGATCTTTGTTTCTATCTTGGTGCAGAAGCTTTTGCTAGCAGTAGAGAAACCCATGGCATGGTTTGGTTCTTTGGTTGAGCAGTGGTTAAATCTTCCGTCGAGCAATGGCAGTCTATCAAGTCTTATACTCAACTTCGTACGAGGTACTCATATTCTCTTTCGAGCATGCTTGGTTTAGTACACTAAAAAATACACTGAATACTGAATAGAATGGCAGATAGCATTTCAAAAGTGTCCAGTAATCTGTATGAATATGTGTATCTGCATGTTTTATCTCATGCAATGCTAGGCCTCTGTGTAGCTTGGAAAAGATTTAGATTTTTAACCGTGTTATGTGTACGTGGCATTTTACCATATTCGTTATAGGGATACACTTGACAATATTTCATTGGGTGTTGGGTAAAAATAAAAAAAAAAAAAAAAAAAAAAACAACCGTAAAGCACTTGTAAATCTGTTTGCACAATATTCCTGTAAAAACAGATTAATTCTTAGATATTTAGCTCCTGTTTGGTATGGATTAAAATCAGATTTTTAGTAAATTTTAATAAAAATTGGTGAAATATGTGGTTTAGAAGTTGGTAAAAGTTCTGGGTTCCATAAAACATGTGATCGAAAATGAATTTTAAGAAATGCACAAACTCAGAATATCCTTATTACAGAGAATCAGGGGGTGGACACAAGAGGGGTTTTTTTTGGGGGG